ATAGATTTCGATTCAAGTTGACATTCCTGTGATACTGCGAGCCAAGTTTGCATTGGGTTGGGGCGGTAGTGTAGTGGTTAGCACGCTGGGCTACGAACCCGGCGGCCTGAGTTTGATTCCCGCTCACGGACAACTCCAGTGACGATTATCTGAACCGGTCCTGGGCCTCCCCTAGGTCGACTCGGCCTCAAATGAGTACCCGGTTCTGTGTGTAAACATCTCTACTACGAAGACAAAGGCGGCCGGGCGTGGTGCCGGCCAACCGCCCCACGCGTGCCGTGCCGGCCTTCATATGTGCTCGCTAACAGCACTTGTCCGAACAGTATGTTAGAGGCTATACGGGATATCTTTGTCTTTGTATGTCCAGCCTATGTACAGTACTTTTACAAAGCATTAATCATGGAAGTTCGCCCCAACTTAAATCAACATTCCGCACGGATGGCCGTTTTTCAGCCGGACAACATAAAAAAAATGTGGGGGCCGGTCTTTATCGCCTGTTGTCATAATCGCTCGCAGTTGCCATCCAAATGGCTAACAGCTGTCCGCCCGCTATACGTCGCAAGAAGCGGCCAACAACCCTTCCCTCGATAATAGACCTCCCCCCGCCCCCCCAACTAAAACATTGCACCCAGTACGATAGCCAACCGCGGGTAACTAAGCACCCGTCGGAATCCCATGAACAACAAAGCTACCCAAGGTGAGGGCCCGATAAGCACAACTGTCGCAGTCTTCTTGGTTCTTTCGGTAAAGTGACGTAGAATGGAAATAAAAAAAATAAAACATAAAATATTTTATAAAAAAATTAAACATAATAAAATATTTTTGTATTATTATTTCATTAAATAAAAAAGTAAAACATAAAATATTTTATTATTATTTTATTATTTCCATTCTACGTGACTTTACCGAAAGAACCAAGATGAATCCCTGCAGTCACGAAAGCTTTAAATCGAAAATTTACTGTCGCAGTGCTAAGTGAATCCGAGTGAGAGAGAGAGAGAAGGGGGGGGGTTACGTGAATCCAAGTGAGGTGGGGGGGGCTTACGTGTCCCAGCGGCACTCTGTGAGCGACAGACACCGCGGTGCCTTGGCTCCAACCTAGGCACGGGTTCCCCGAAAGTGTCGGGGAAAATGAACCCATCCCACCCGTACCGCAACATTGAAAGAGTCAACTCGATTTAAAGCTTTCGTGACTGCAGGGATTCGTCTACTTGGTTCTTTCGGTAAAGTCACGTAGAAGGGAAGTAATAAAATAATAAAAATAAAACATAATAAAATAATTCTCACGACGTTTCGGCCACAACGCAAGCAGCCGTCCTCAGGTGAAGACCAGGTCTGTCGGGGAGACAGCGTCTGAAACGTCGTGAGAATTATTTTATTATGTTTTATTTTTATTATTTTATTACTTCCCTTCTACGTGACTTTGCCGAAAGAACCAAGAAGAAGAGTCAACTCGGTTTTGTGCGCTCTTGGATGTTTGTTGATTTATGTAATTTTATTCATTTTATTTACGTCCCCGGAGCTAAGTAAGGTTAACTCGAAGGTATAAATTGTGCACGGAATTACGATGCGCAGTCGGTGCCAATGGGGTCTCAGACGATCGTTTTCAATCACTCTGCAATATGTATGAATGCGCACATATTACAAAGTGTCATTGACAAAATGTACAAATTCATGATTGGGTGTATGAATCAATAAATAGGACGATATGATATTATTTGATTCTTTCGGTAAAGTCACGTAGATAGAAAAAAAATTAAGTGAATAAATAAAAATAAAAAAACACTAATGTACAATGTATCCTGGTTTTTAATTGGAGTGACTGTACTGGCAGTCTATAATGTAGACTGTAGCAATTGTTATTAAGCTGGGTGAGTGTACCGGCAGTCTATAATGTAGACTGCAGCCTGGTTCTTAACCTCGGTGAATGTACTGGCAGTCTATAATGTAGACCGTAGCAATGGTTATTAATCTGGGTGAGTGTATTGGCAGTCTATAATGTAGACTGTAGCAATGGTTATTAAGCTGGGTGAGTGTACTGGTAGTCTATGATGTAGACTGCAGCCTGGTTCTTAACCTGAGTGAGCATACCGGCAGTCTATAATGTAGACTTATTATTGTTTTTTTCGGTAATAAAAATTAAATACAAAATAAAAAAATTAAAAATAAAAACCACGACGTTTCGATCTCAACACAAGCGAACGTCTTCAAGAGGAAAGAGGGGGAAGGTCGCCGAAGGCAACCGATTTTAAAGGTTTCAAAAATGGGCGTGGCACAAGAATGGGCGGGGCATATGTGCCCTGGGGTCAGAGAGCACCAATGTGAAGCACGGAACATATTTTAACGATTTTTATTCACTTGATTTAAATCTACGTGACTTTACCGAAAGAACCAAATAATGTGAATTCCTGCAGTCACGAAAGTTTTAAGTCAGGACGAGTTGAATGCCACCTCTTCCAAGACGTCTGGCCAATGTAGAAGAGTAGGCCAAATTCCCTCTAAAGAAGCCTCTCCAGAGCTCCCTCTGGTGGGGAGGCCCTTCCGTCAACGCTTGTGTAAGCGAGCAATTTCAGGTTCTGCACCTTTTACTGGTAGGAACGAAGTGAACCAGCCTACAATAGATTATATCGTCCGTCCGTCCGATGTCCGATTAGGTGTAGCAACATCGCCCCCTACTGCAAACACTTGGCAGGACCCTACAAAAACCTTTAGACTCAGTGAGGCTTTCCTGGCTAAACAAGTGACATCACTTATTATTCCCTGAGATAGTTTTTTTTAATTCCCTGAGATAGTTTTTAATTAAAACATTTAAATTTAAAATTAACTCACAGCGGCCTAAAGCCTCTACAGCTAGGCCTAAAGCCTAGAACTAGCCCTCAAACTCTCCCTTCGTATCGTATTTGTTCGTTCCTACCAGCCCACCCCGCAGGGACCCGTTTTGTTGCCCTAATAAATGCCAAAGTCCTTTTATTGAAAAATGTTCAGCACCCCTGCTCAACCACCCAACCATCACATCCAGCACGCTGGCCAGCTCCCCCAACCCGAGTCCGTCTCGGCTCAGCTCGGTGCAAACCCCCGACCCCCAGCCCTGCCCAGCCCAGCCCAGCCCGCAAGCAAGCAAGCGAGCGAGCGAAACAAGGAAGCCCCCTAAGCAGGGTGGGAACGCGTACGCGATGCCAGCTTCCCGTCTGTGCCATCGAGGGGCCCATTCGCTCCGCTCAAGCTGCGCGGCACACTCACAAAGGCACCGTCACCATAACAGACACAAGTGCCCTCTGGGGAATGAACCCGCTCCCCTCTGCCGCAGCTCTCTCATGGGAAACGCGGCGTAGGCTGCTCGCTTTGAACGGGGCCAGTGGGGGAAGGCAGTGCTCACGGGGGATGGGGGGGGGGATAGAGCACGGGCACACCAGAGAACGAAGCGGCGGTGTGATGTGTGCGTGAGCGGTTTTTTTTTCTGAAATGACAATTTATGGGGAGGTGTGGGATGGAGGGCGAGAGGTTAAGGTCGGGTCGGAGCCACGCCCCAAGCCTCGCACACCCTCACCACCCACGGGGTTGCGTCTCTCGCGGTCCCCCCCCCCCAAATGCGCAGAGTAGCGGGGAGTTACGGGCGGTTCATTAAGATGCCCCTGGGAGAGACTTGCCGTGCAAACGAGCCTCCTTTCACACGGCAGTGGCCGTGGGTTCTGAGCCCTTTGTGCGACGATCAATCCTTTTTTGACAAAAGTGGCGGAGGAGGTCTTTCAGCAGAGCGGCTTTTTGCAATCGAATCGCGTGTGAGAAAGGACAGTGAGAGGGCGAGCAATGCCCGTGTGCGTGCGTGCGAGTGAGCGCGCGTGTGTGTGTGTTTGTGTGTGCCGCGAAATGCTGGTGGCGAGGTCAACGCATAGCGCCACAAGTCCAAGTGTCCCGGCTCCATCGTTTGAAAGGCAGGAAAATCAGTTTGAATTAAGATTTACTGCGTCGGAATTCGCGGCGTGCGCTGTGCAGCTCTTCGATGTGTTTTCGGAACGCGCCGCGTGTCGTTCAGCACGACGCCTCACGTGTCACTCCGTGTGCCGCTGGGAGCTTCAAAAGGAATTGAGCCGAGCTCCTGTGGAAGCTCCCAGGTGAAAAACGTTGGACATCGTGCCGCGAGCAACATGCGATCTTGCGACATATCGCATTTGGTTTCTGTGCCATTTGTACATTGCCTGGTCCATCGCCGTAAACGTAGCAAAGTGACATTCACATATAATTGACAAAAAAATCTGCATACTTCAAAAACGCGTCTACTTATGTTCGCGATGCGATGCATGCGTCGCGATTCTCAACAATCAACATTGATTCATTGTTACACATTCCTCCTAGAGAGTCTCGCCACAGCATCTCCCAAACACGCGCCCCAACTTATATTTGACCTCAGAGCTGTCCTTCTTACAAAACATTGGCAAAGGCGAGCCTGCGAAGATCTCATCTGATTATGTATTCATTGAATTTTCTGCATGTGATTCCCTCGCTGAGCCACAGCAGGTGAGGCAATACGTTTGAGAAATGTCCATTTCAGCGTGATGGCTTTTCTGTGCAGTCATCGGTGACCTGGCTGTAGCCAATCGCTCATTAGACCTAAGAACTCAGTTTAATCCCAACAGGGATCGTGGGAGTGAAATCCCAGCATCTCATCGGTGCGTGTTGTATGTATGTTGAACTTCTTTCGCACCATACGTCGCCAACCGTGCTAATCGGAGGAAGGACATTATCCTACGGAGCTCCCTTGCATGCGAGTCTTAACGCAAAACAACGATATCACCGTAATCATCGTGAAAGCTCCAGATCACCGACAAAATACGGATATTTTTTCGTTGAGACACGTTGCACCGCACGGCTGTGCGATGTGTGTTTTTTTTTGCGATATACCACGTGACGTCCGGGATGTTTGTCCAATGTACGGAGTGCAGCGTCGGACATCACTCCGAACGACGCCGCGGTACAACCGTAAAACACGTGCGGCCTCTGACCTGCGGATCGGAGAGCCGGCTGACGTCGGGGTAGAGATAGAACTTGATTCCCTCGCTGGCCCCGGGTAGAGTGACGCCACGGATCAGGAGGATGATGAGCATCACGTACGGGAAGGTGGCCGTCACGTAAACGACCTTCCCCGGGAGACAAAATAACAATGCGGGTGTCCGTCATGAAATAGCGATGTTGCATTGCTGCAAAATTGGGTGTTCACCTGTCAATAGAAGCTTGCGTTCGTCGAGTTTCATGATGCTAGGGGTGATTGTAATGAAAGAAAACGAACTGTGTAGATATTTTGTAATATTTTTTATGGAAATAAGAATTTACTTTGTAGTGATAATGGATAATAACAAAAATATATATATACCAAATTATGCGAACGGATCCGAAATGACTCGTTAGAAATGATAATATACTCGTAATTCTAAAAAATAAAATTCCACAAGATAATATATTCCCTGAAAGTATAAAGCCAGAATATATAAAGAGAACCATATGTTTACCCTTGTGAATTCACTACATACCAAAGATGAGAGGAAACTAAAATATGTTTTATTCATTCGAAAACTTCAGCTTCAGGCCTGAGACAGGAGTTGACTTTTGACATAAATCACCGAATAAGTAAATTATGTATCAAAATATAAGCAGAATTACAGCAGGAAAAAAAAAACAATATTGCCAAAAATGTGATCATTCTTTCTCCAATGACCGTATTCTCTAAGGAAAATATTTCACGTTTTACCCCCTGAATTTTACAGAAACAGTTGGGGGTGCATCTTGCAATCTGGGAGGCGTGTGTGTGTGAGACCAAATTCGTAGAACTTTCTCAACACAGGGTACAAGTGTCAAGTGCGTATAACTTTCTGGAGCATCTTATAGCCCATAGAATAGGCTATACTTTCACATATTGTTCCTTTCAACCATCTGCTTTTCATAAGACGTTCACGCTACACATCTAACTGCTGTGGAGGAGTGCTTCTGCCCTAAAAGCCGGCCTATCATATGTAAGTTTTGGTAATCTGTGCCTAACGCCTGCCGTATTTTCATGCAATTTCAAATATTGTTTTTTCATGAAAGGCTTCTTAAATTTGTAACTAATTTTTAGTTTCAAGAATAATCGATTTTCTCCAAAAAATATATCAGCGCCGGTTTTGTGAAAAGCCAAGTTGGTTTTTGTATTTTTAGATTTTCATTCTTGACACCGTTGTACATAATAAATAAATCATCAAGTTTTTATTTTTATAGCGCTCTATCGTGCAAAATATGCAATTTAAAGTGCTGTACAGTTAAACAAAAACTTTGTTAAAAGATGCAAGAACAATAAAAGCTACTTCCAGACAAAACAAAATCGCATTATGATAAATTGATAGCAAAGGCATATTAAAAATAATAACACGAGACAAGAATCTTAGGTAAAAGCAAGTAAAAAAAAAAGTTTTTAGATTTAATTTAAAATTGCTTAACGATTGCGAAGCCGTCAGATCCCCCGGCAGGTTGTTCCACAGGCGAGGCCCATGCACACCGAAGTCTGCTGTTCTGTGCGTTTTGGTCCTGCCCCTTGGGACGAATAAAAGACCGGACCCAGAGGATCTGAGGGATCTTGTTGGTTCATATCTTAACAGCATAGAACACATGTATGCTGGTGCCAAACCATTCAACGATTTAAAAGCCAATACAATTTTTTTTAAAATAAATCCTACGACTGATTGGCAGCCAGTGCAAGGATCGTAAAGTAGGTGTCACGTGGGTGCTCTTTCTAGTTTTTGTAAGCACACGTGCTTCTGCAGTCTGAAAAAGCTGTAGGTTACATGTTGACTTTTTCAGAAGACTGGAAAAGAAGGCATTACAGTAGTCAAGTCTGTTGGTAATAAAAGTATGCATCAGTCTCTCAGTAGTAAAGCGAGATAGAAAAGGCTGTACCCTAGCTATATTTATAAGACGATGAAATGCCGTTTTGGTCAAATATCTGATGTGGGCTTCGAAGTTCAAATCCGGATCAAACAAAACACCTACGTTTTTAACCTGCAGTTTGGCGTTTTCTGTCAGCGAGCAAAAATGTGTGGGCAGTTTTTCTCTTCGGGCTTTTGCTCCAATTACCAGAACCTGTGTTTTGTCTTTGTTAAGTGCCAAGAAATTCAGTGACATCCACATTTTAATATCATGTAGTTTTGGTGATCTGTGCAATTGTAAATATTTTTTTTCATGAAAGGCAATTTACACCAAATGTCACACTTATATAAATTTCTGTTTAAATAAATTCAATACAATCTTAAATTTTTTTGTCTATTTCATTGGATTAAATGTTTATCTACCCGTCATATGGTGGGCAATTACACTAGTTATTTATATATTATATATTTTCCGTTACAATGCAGTGCTAGGCCTTAACAATGCAATGAACAGCCATTTTGTCAATTCACCGCTGGATGAAGTCTTCCCAAAACCATGCCAGTTATGCGGTTTGTTTGACAAAATTTCACCGCACTGGTCAGTGCCAATTGGTGATCTGGGGTTCAGATATCGCTCACCACTCATGACAGCCATGTATGCATGTACGTTGTTGAACTTCTTTCGCACCGTATGTAGTGAACTGCTAATTGAAGGTGTGCGGGGAGGGGTGGACCAGGAATCCAACTTTCGTTGCTGGGTTCGCATCGCATTGCGATGACACACAGCTACACTGCTCCAGACCAGCACTCACGATCATGGTGACGGTGATAAACCATCGGCGTGTACATGAACGTCAATGCAGTGCGTGAAGTTTCATCTGAGTCCAGGGTTGAATTTAAGCCGGGTCTGCCTGGGCGAGCGACCCTGAACATATTTCACCTCATCCAGTTTATCTCTTGCTCTGACTATGGATACTGGTCACGTGCCACCTCTAGTTGAGAGTTGCCACCTGTCCTGGTATCTCCTAGGATGTTCCTGTGTTTCAGGTATCTGTCCTGGGAAACCTGTCTATCTGGGACGTTAAAAGTCCCGTTTTTTAACGCTACACCCAATTTTTGTCAACTCAGGGCCAGGAATTTACACGAAATCCTCCCTCTTCCGGTCTACCAGCGACCCAGACAATATTGAGTGAGAAATGGATCCCTGCTTGAAGGCAAGCAGTGACATCACTTCCTTTGTACGTGAGTAGACACTGCCTGCTGCGAGCGATGGCTTTTGACCCCTAACTGCGAAGCAGGGACAACTGATTGCGCGCGCGCCGATGAGCGGCGTTGCGTTTTTACTTTTCCAGTCGACTTGGTTCCCTTCCAGATGCAGAAGTAGCAGACGATCCACGCCGCCAGGAGGCAGAGGGCCAGTTCCCAGCGAAGGTTTCCGATGTTCTCAATGCCATTGGAGATGCCCAGCACTCTCCGCCTGCAGACGCGGGACAGAACACACAAACACGCGAACGTCCCACGCCTGCCCGCCTGCCCCTTCTTTGTACCCCGCCGTCGCCCTCGCAACGCGTAAGCGACTCGGCGTTAATTTTATTTGGGGAGGCGTAGTGCCGGTGTTTGTAAATACGTTGTACTCCCCGCAAAGAACTGTAGCGACTCGACCACACTCGACAATAGCTGGCGCCAAACTGTGCCATACGCCCTCCCGCATGGCCTTGTGGGAGCCTTTTTTTCCGGTCTGATTCCGATGATGTACACATACGTCGTCAGAATGGAATCCGAAGAAAAACTCATGATGTACACGTACGTCATTGGAACGGGAAAGGGTTAACAAGGAGGTGTGTTTTTTTTATCACCACCACGATGGGTGGGCACAGGCCCAAATACACGAAAGGCTGATTGGCCGACAATCAAACAGCGCCATTGAAGGTGCAAGAGAATAAAAGTTAATGCCGCTTCTCGAATTTTTGGCAAGATTGGAAAAAAACTTAGGGGGGGGGAGAGAGAGAGAGAGACGACGGGAGGGAATTCCAAATCCGAACAGCTCGAAGCAAGAAGCAGAAAAGGACACGGACATACAGAGACGGTAATTTGCTTAAGCGTCCTATTAAGAAACCCGCACGCTTTGTCGAATATTTCGAGTGGCGTGGCGCTGAAAAGGAGCGTTTGGCATCGCTGTTCGGCCAAGTTGATGGCGTGAGTTCATTTTCATGCCTCACACGCTGAGCAGCTCAACCTTGTGCAGGTTGTCATGGCCGGTGCTCAATAGCCACACAAATGCCAAGAGCTCCCCGAGCAAAGTCAAGGAATAAATGACCCTAAATGTGTCCAATGTCGTCAGATTATCAAAAACACTAAGCAGGTTTGACGGTGGTTTGTATTCGGATTGAAGAATGTCTGGGAACACTCGGTGTTGTGGATTTTAGCTGTGATGAAGCCAGGAGACGGCAGTACGGCAATAGGTTCTTCAATCTATCTGCATGGAGCTGTGCGTGTTATTTCTTGGTATGCACGAGCTTCCATCCGTGTTCTCCGATTTCCTTAGTGGGTCTTGCCTGCGTAGAAAAAAAATCAAATTACTATTATGCAAGAACACACGGAAGAAATTGGAAAATTCTGGATGATTCGGTCGTAATCGTAGGCATACACTACTCATGTAGAGTGTAACACTTACATGCACGATAACTGTCGTACTGCCAGTATAGCACAAGCCTGGATTGAATCTCGCACGATGCATTTGAAGTGTGCGCGTGAAGGGTGGCAGATGTGAGACGGGGGTGACGTTGGAGAGGGGGTGGGGGCGTATGCAGCAGTTGGATTTCGTAGCTCCAGCTAGAGGAGGCCTCAGGTTTTCTAGCCTCAGGTGCTAACACGTACAGGTCGATTAATTGAGAAGATGTAATACACTGGCGCATGGCTTCTCGCATAGAGACCCCCGTAGACTTACACAAAGACCCATGCGCGCATAGGAATCCATAGACTCACATAGAACCCATACGCTTACATCGACCCACATGCTCATAGACTCAAATGAAGACAAAGAGACTCACATGCAGATCCATAGACTCAGAGATCCATAGATTCACAGAGCCCGACAGACTTACATATCGATAGAAAGATTCCCACATCAATCTATATACTGGAAGGTTCACATAGAAATCCATACATTAAAGTATAGTAGCGATAGAGACCCATATATTGCCATAGTGCCCCAAAGACTTACATATAGATCTATGTATTCCCACAGAAACGCATAAAGTGTAATGCTCACATGAAAACCCGTAGATTTACGTATAGCAGGGCCCGATATAGACTCACACAGAGACCCAAAGACGGGAATGCTACTGGCAGCGGCTTCATCGCCAGCGCTTTCACCAGCAGACTGGCGCCCGGTCTGGTGTGAGCCCAACATTGGTTCAGCATCACCACCACTACCACCGTCACCACCACCACCGCCACCACCACCACCACCGCCGCCACCACCGCCAACACCACCACCACCACTCGTTTTTCCTGTGTTCCACTGATCAATGAGTCGACCGGCACGCGTCATCACCTAAGACAGGGAAACCCGAGGCGGATTGTGTTGCCTTCTCAACCTGGAGTCATGAGCTGACATTGGTGGGGAGGATGTGGTTGGGAGATGGTGGGGAGGTGGTGATGGGGGGGGGGGAGTTGGGGGGGGGCATGCCTAAGCGAGTGTGAAGAGGGGGGGGGGGTGGGGGGCATGCAGATGTCAATCACAAGAGTGCGAATTTTCCTCAAACTCACAGTTGAATAACACATCATCCAGCCAATGCATGTGTACACGTGGCTGAAGTGTGGTTGACAGTCATGTGTAACTTTGTCCCAAATGTAATGAAAGCTAGCTACAGTAATGCAGACCACGGGCTGGTATATCTACGTGCATTTTCATGCGGTGGTAAATATTGTTTTTTTTATGCTGAACTTTGCTCCGTACTCGCATGGCAATGAGGAAATCAAACAGTCCTTTGGGCAAACGGTCATGTTGTCCTCATGCCTGAGTTGAAAACATCACGTAACACAATGTGTTGCACACCCACCCCCTCTCGTGTGCCGTGCCATCCTTCACAAGTGCTCGCTAACAGCTCTTGCCTCAATAGTCCGTTAAAGTCTGTATGGGGGATTTTTTTTGCCATTTTATAGTTTTACAGACCGAGTTCAAACTGCCATTTAATTATAATTGTCTACCTAATATTAGACGAATCCTTTCTGGACAGCCTGGATACCAGTACAGTGCATCAGCTTGACAAATCTGTTGAATAAATAAATATTGGCAGGAGCATTGTGTAATCGTGCTACCACTGTTTATAACGGAACACTGCAATGTTGGACTTTGACAGCAAACTCGTGTTCCGAAAGGAAACACTGCGATTATATCGTTTTTATTTTTACTGCTGGCGAAATGTTATCTGCCTGGCCCGGTATACAGGTCACGGGTTCCTGTATATTTGTAAATTGCATGCACGTTCTCCCTGTGGTCGCGTGGATTTTTCTCCGGGTCCTCCAGTTTTTCCATCCACATTTAGAATCAACGTGCGTTTAGAATATTTGGCTGCTATAACATTTCCACACGATGATGAGCCACTTCGTTGAGCTATCATTTGTGGCCAGATTGCCTCCGAAAAGGACCTAATAGCTCAGTGGGCCTTACCTGTCAAAATAAAAATATCTACCTTCAAACAGTTTGGTTACTGATGTGCGCCTTTTGGCGTCATCTGGTCCAACCCATGTGAGACTAGGCTCGAAGGAAAGCTGTCTTGGGTGTGGACCAATAAACTTCAAGGACAGTGCATACAGAGTTATGTTTTTAGTTTGCATTATGACTGCAGGTATTGTGGTCTATGCAAACATGACTCCTTGTAAAAAAAAGTGTCAGTTTTGTTGCCAGATAGAAGGGTAAAAAAACAATTATCATATTTTTTACTGGCAAATGAGGTTCCAATGGTGTGAGTTTGGTTACTTTTAAGCAAACAAAAGAAAATGCGAGTTCCGAAAATTGTGAGCTCCACGCTACTCACTCCCAGTACTCGATGACCGGTGATGTCCCTTCCCTGGCCACGCGGACCGCCGTGATGTTCTCCGTGTGATGGAACTCCACGCAGCTGTCTGGAGACACAAAGAGGACGACGGAAAACAGCTGTGGGCGATCGCAAAAAGCGCACTTCGAACAAAGCAGCTTTGCACGCACAGCACCACATTGTGTTACGGGCGTCATATCGTTCCTTTCATTCACTTTTTAACGCTTTCCAAAACTACAATTGGAAAGCGTTAATGCATTAGCTCTGTCCGTATGTCTGTAACGCGGCGGAGAGGGGGGGGGGCGGTGAATTTTCGCCTAGAGCTATGCATCTCTTCGGAACTTCCCCTTCAGAAAAGCGGCAACATTGAGTGAAGGGGTTAGCCGGGGTTTCCCTAGCCGAGCCGTGCTCTGAGCCTCATTGTTTCATCAGGGAAGGCCCCCGGGGTGCCTACTGCTTCCTGCGCATCTGGCGCCAGCGCCGCCGTTACTATCATTCACGAAATACTTCCGATGACGAACACGTGTGGGAGAGCGTTTCGGAATGCATGCGTAGGCATGCTTTTTGTTCCTTCCACCCTGTTGGATTAGCGCCGGCCACGGACAGTGGGTGCCATTCCAGCCCCTACAAGACCACCGTTGCCCGAGATATACGGCGAAACTGACGACGTACCCCCGTCTTAAAAAATACAACAGCAAAAAAAATGTCTAAGGGGCCGTTCATAAATGACGTCACGCAAAAGGCACAGCAAAATAATAACTGCTAAATAATAACTGCTGTGCCTTTTTACACCTGATGAAGGAAGCTTGTGTTTCCTCCGAAACGTCGTGATTTAATATTTTATTCATATTATTATTTCTATTATTTTTATTATAAAAGTTTTTTTTTCCTACGTGACTTTACCGAAAAAACCTAAGAGTATGAATCCTTGCAGTTACGAAAGCTTCAAATCTAGAATTATCAGACCTTCTAATTGTAAGCCATTCACTTAAAAACTCAACTCAACTATCTTTTGATTTAAAGCTTTCGTGACTGCAGGGATTCATATTCTTGGTTCTTTCGGTAAAGTCACGTAGAAGGGAAATAATTAAATAATAAAAATATCCAACAATATTATTTCCCTTCTACGTCACTCTACCGAAAGGTGAGGTCCATTAGTCACATAGCTCTTTTCCAAAGCGACCTGGCCACAAATGATAGCCCAACGACGTGGCTAATCATGTAGACAATTATAGCAACTAAAAACTCTAAACCCATGTTGATTCTAATTGTGGAGGGAAAACCCGGAGGACCCAGAGAAAAATCCACGCGACCACAGGGAGAACATGCAGACTCAAATTATACAGATGTCAGGGTTAGGATCGAACCGACGACCTCCTGTACACCAGGTGAGGTAGTTAACATCTCACCACCGTGGCCGTTGATTATGAAATGTTTCCCACACTAATTATATTGTGATAAACCTTATAACCCTAACAGCATAGTGGTTTGAAGGCTGCATCGTGATCCCAGGACCTGAGTTCAATTCCTGACCACAACTCAAGTCAGCGAGAGGTGAGTGATACCCACCCCTGAACTAACCACCGCACCAACCCACACTGACCAGCCGGCTACAGTATGGTCAAACGACACCAGAGATTGACACGGCATGGGGAGGCCTTCATCCAGCAGTGGATTGACAAAAGGACTTGTTCATCGTCGTCATCGATTACATCGGTTTATGACATTTAAATGGAAAAAGTCGAGGCAAATGTGGCAAACATTAACGACAATTCTTTTATCCTCTTTGCACAGTAAAGTCTCAGGACGACATCCACTTGGCTCATTCTTTGAATGCATTTTCAAAAAAAAAATCTACTCAGCCTACGACAATGAAAAAAAATCCAATTTTAACAAATAATTTGAAAGTGATTGTTAACAAATTCATGCGCAGCGCTGTGCATGGTGATGCTACTATGATGTGTCCAGGTGCATTTGTTATCGTAATTATATTCCAACACCCCTAATTAGTGCTCTTGAAAGCGTTGCGAAGTAGATTGGTGGCTGTGCGTGCAAGTGTGCATACCAATATCCACTGCCACTGGCAAGACCTAAAATCTAGACCGGAGCTCTGCAAACCACTAGACCGGAGTGGTGATTGGTGGAGCTGTGCCCACCACGCTGTGTCGAGTATGACGGGCGGTGAGGCACGGGTTCCGGATTGTGGATTCACTGCTTCGTACTCCTGTGCTTATATACAACCTGTGCCCTGGGCGCTTATTCAGAGAGAGAGACACACACAAGCCAAACACAGCGGCTTCTTTGCAAGACCACCACTCGGTTATTCAACAAGTCCACTGTTGACTGCCCCCCCCCCGCCCATACTGGTCATCTGTGAAAAAGAGCTTCAGAGATCATCGGATTGATCCAGTCTGAATACAGATTCTGATTCCATGAGCTTAGGCCATGTATATATATATCACTTGTCGGCACCACCCGAGGTGGCATATATCTAGTGTTTGAAAATGTGTGATAATAAATTGAAACGTGCGGTGTTATTCAGTAATTCACTTTCATTCGCTGTATAAATAAATGGGTACTTCTAAAAAGGAGTGTTACATTAGGTGGTACCAATTTATGCTCTGGCTCATGCACGAAACAAATGTGTTTCGAGACAGAACACAGCTATAGTTGATGAGCATCTTCAATTCGTGGTGGGATTGGCCTGCCACGTGGCCAGGAGATGGTGGTATAGGAATGGATCCTTGAATATATCTGCAAGGAGATCTTAATTGTATTTTTTTCATGTGAGTGGGGTTTGCACTGGGTATCCCGATTTTCTGCCCGCTTGCCAAATGCTCATGAATGGAATTGGATAAACGTTCCAATGCAATCAGGGCCATCTTGGACACGAGTCCTATCACATTGTGAGGCTTCCTGGGTGAAATACAAAACAAACCGTGATTATTATTATAATCATTGTGAATTCCAATCTCGCAGTTAACTCAACCATAATCCCTCTGGGGTTAATCAACTTAGCCTTGCCTAAGCGAGGCTCTAAATGCAAGCGCTTCATTATGCCCGGAGACCAATCGCTGCCCATAAGATGCTGATGGAGTTAGCGCCACCGGAACACGAGCCCCGACGGCGAACCGGCTGGCGAACGTGACGGCCGACAGAGGCTCGCGTTGCCAAGTCGCGGGGGCCAGTGCCAAATCCATCCCTGTTACCAAATTACGGCGAGCAGCGGGGCGCCCATCACAGGCGGTTCGCGGCACGCACGGGCGCGTTGACCCCTCCACGCCGTGGCGGTTCAGTCGGACCGAATCGTTGGTACGTTTGCGGCCCTGTTGGCAATTTTCTTTTTAATTCTCTGGCACGTGTCGTGACGGGTCCTGTAAGATCTGACCGTGGTCCGTCCAGTGCTCGCTGAGCTGCATTGGCTTCCAGTTGCCGAACGAAGACGTTGTTATAAGGTCGCGCTCATTACACGCACAACACAAAGTGCTTGCCGCATGTGAACCACAATACCTTGTCAAGGAGCGTAAACCATCATCACGTGAACTTCGCTCATCCTAGATTTGAAGCTTTCGTGACTGCAAGGATTCATATTCTTAGGTTTTTTCGGTAAAGTCACGTAGGTAAAAATTTTAAATTAATAAAAGTAAAATAAAAGCAAAATATATTTTAGTTTATTTTTTATCTATTTTTTTAAAATACATTTTTTTTACTTTTATTAATTTAAATTTTTTACCTACGTGACTCTACCGAAAAAACCTAAGAATATTTCGGTCATCCTCACAGCAGCAGCTTTTGGCTGGCCATTGAACAAGGATGGTCACCGCATCGCGCACTTTCATATGCACTTCTGCGGCCGTCTGGAACGCTCTTCCTTCCGATATTAAGAAGCCACTTGAGCTATGCACTTTTAAATCTGGATTTAAAACTCATTCTTTAGAATTGTTTTTTTTGTTTAGTCTGTTGTCGTTCCCCTGCACCTCCGATTAGCAAGGTTGGCTACATACATTTCGAAATAAGCTCAACATACACACATGCGTCCGCTCTTACAGCGCAACGCTATCATGACCGCGTTGTGTTTCACAGGCGAGTGTAGTCTGCAGGGATTTCACAGTTGGGAGAGAGCGATATTGCTGCGTGGTTTTATAGTTGTACCCGATTCGGTAAACTGCGGTGAATCTTCAAACGTGGACAATTAGGACCGCGACTCTGGTACACAAGGCCTTAATCTTTTTCAAAAAATGTCTCAGGATCTTTTACATACAGACGTACGTCTACTGTGAAGCAAAAGGTGAGCATATGTTTTTTTCCCACTCGCATTAACCAGGGCTGCCGCTGGGCTCGAACCTACGAACCTCCGCAACGAGCGGCAAAATGAGCGACCGATTGGGGGGCTGGTAATGAAACCTGGAATGGCGACCGGCGAAAGCAAAGCTCTCGCTTGTCGGAAGCGCTTTCTCTTCTCACTGCCCTAGATTTTGGCACTCACGGTGCATCGCTCGTTGGTGCTCCAGATCGCTCGGGCTGAATTCCGTTTTGTTGAAACATTAATTGGCTTAACAAAACACAAGTGGAGCGTGGCAATGTCTGAGAAGCCGCTGCTTCACGTGACGCTCAGCCGTGTTACTGTGCAGCCAACAGAACGCTCTCATTTCATCTTTGATATTCAAATGCAGTTAGCAATGGTACCGTTATTATGTAAGAGAACGTATTATTTTTGCTCCTCACATCACCCACGTGTTGAGCCTTACATCACCAAAATCACAATAAATACACTCGATCTCATTAACAATCGGAAGCGAAGAAGGTTTGAGCCCAGTTACTACTACGATGGGACACTGCCTGGAAATACCTGGCGGTGTAGCCAGGAGATGGCAGTATGCCAAAGGATCCTTATGTCTATCAGTATGGAGTATTAGGCGTTGTCCCCTTGTATGTGGGGCTCCCTCCATACATGAAGCCAAACACTCGTTAATGGAACTGACCAAACACCACAACCCTCCTGCTTTGCTCTGTAAATAAAGAACTTCTACGACTGGAAAGAATACTCATAACAGTCACTGGTTATTCCTGTTCAATAGTCGTAACATTCAGCCTTAAAAGATATTGACAATGTAAGCGGGTTACTCCATCTATCGTTGCCACCTGTCCTGGTTTTCCCAAAATTGTCCTCGTGTTGACGTAGCTGTCTTAATGAATCAGTGGGTCTTCCCAGGATGTCAAAAGTCCTATTCTCTGTCAGATGCATCACCACTCAAGACATGGCATTCACATGTAGTTCTCCTCTCGTCCAGTTTTGTGAATATATAGCCCTCTGCCAATGATAAATCCAAGGTTTATTTTTTTGGTACATCAGAGGTGGCAACCATAACTTCATCTGATACGCACACAATCAATCTTGAACATTGCATCGCTACCTACGCTCGGACTGAATACGCACGCACGTGTTTTGCTGCAGGAAATTTCGCAAGCCACGCGCACCGCCAATGTTACGCGCGCATACAAGCCCGTGCACATGCGGATATCATCAAGCCACACAGCTCAGAGACAAACTCCCCCCCCCCCTGCCCAGCCCACCCCAAGCAAGCACAGCCTGATCGATGTTAGATCGTGACAACAGCAAGCGAAACAAACCCGTTGTCAGCCAAGCTGCGATAAATCACTGTGATGCATGTCTCTCTCTCTCGAGCTTCCGCAGGCCAGATTCTCGCTAATGTTTTTCGTTTGTTTCGTCTCCCGTCGTGATAACGCGATGAAGAAATATTGCACTTCTGAAGTTCTCGCTGCGAGCGGCGCACCTACTTGGGTCAAAGGAAGGGTCCGGGAAATTGACAACGCAAGCAGAACTACGGTTGGGATTCACGCATGCCGAGGTCTCGTCTTCCACGGCAGATCTACATTTTCCATGCGAGATACAAACGCATTCGGCGCTTTTCCTAAAGTGTTTGTTGCACGGTCGCAGAATAACAAAAATTACAATGAGAAGCCCCAGACTTGGAATTGGCCAATTAAGCAAAAAAAACAACAACACATATTTAGCATTTTCTTTGGTTATTTAGGTAAATCACCGGGAGATTCTGCATTCACGAGCCACCCACTCGGCAGAAGCACGGTGCAGGGGGGTAGGGGGTGTGGGGGCGATCGTTACTTGTGTTCCAATGGTTGTTGCACGAAGCCCAGGGCAGGTCGGCCGTGAAGCAGTTGCAGAAGTAGAAGATGGCCCAGGCCAGGATGACGACGTAGAAGACGTTCAGGTAGGTCACGATGACCTGCGTGCCGTATCCCAGGCCTGCCAGCGCACACATGCAAAGAGCATCGGTCACTCACACCCACCCGCCAATGTAACAACTAATTGAATGTTAAAATGCCATTCGCCAGCGTCAAAAGTCACGACAACAATCCAATTCTCCCGCTCACCCCTTCTCCCGCTCCCCTAACACTCACGTTTTATCTCACTCAACTACAACGTCTCATAACCACGATACCACTCCACTCTCCGTTTCTTGTCCTTGTCGCCCCCTGTGGAACTCATCATTTGAAACCCTGGATATCTCGAGAGACCACCACTGGGCTGTCTTCATCCTGAAGGTCCTCTTAAACAAATCTGTAAATTACCTAAAGGACCACTCGGTTAATCTCACTCCCTCGCATAGAATCACAAGTGTCTCCTTATTCCTCCTAAAAACAGACATTTGCTTAAAATGTGTTTAGTAAAAAAAAGTATTTCCGCATTGCTCCTGAAATATCTTTGACCGTTTATTTACAACTTGGTTCCCTCCCTTCAACCCTTCGCATTATTCCCCTATTAAAAACAAAACACAGAGCTTACTTACTTACTTACAGTACTTGCCGCTGTATTTAACTTATTTCTGGCGCTCCTTGTTCTCATGCTATTATTGGCACAGTTTGTTTTATATTACCGTGTGTTTCGTTGACAAACCGTTGAATACCACGTTTGTTAGTTGTGCAAATATGACTGAAGGGTACTGAAGTTTTTGCCCTTGTTTTTGTTCATGCTGCTGCCATGCTCACGCGCCGCAGACTTCCCTTGTAAAATAGCCGGACAACTGGATGAAGGGGACTGTCCGTGAAACAATAAAATGAATGTAAATCTCAAGCTACCCCTGACATACGCTCTCCCTCATCTCACTCCACTTGCCCTCATGCACTCTCCCATCCCCTCCTCCACCACTGTACCCACTCCAACAGTGCTCTCCACTAGCATTAAAGATCTTCACTCTAGCATCTAAGATCTCCACTCTAGCATCTAGGATCTCTACTCTAGCATCTAAGATCTCCACTCTAGCATCTAAGATCTCTACTCTAGCATCTAAGATCTCTACTCTAGCATCTAAGATCTCCACTCTAGCATCTAAGATCTCTACTCTAGCATCTAAGATCTCCACTCTATCATCTAAGATCTCCACTCTAGCATCTAAGATCTCCACTCTATCACCTAAGATGTCCACTATAGCATCTAAGATCTCTACTCTAGCATCTAAGATCTCTACTCTATCATCTAAGATCCCCACTGTAGCATCTAAGATCTCAACTCTAGCATCTAAGATCTCCACTCTATCATCTAAGATCTCCACTCTAGCATCTAAGATCTCCACTCTAGCATCTAAGATCTCCACTCTAGCATCTAAGATCTCTACTCTAGCATCTAAGATCTCCACTAGCATCTAAGATCTCCACTCTAGCATCTAAGATCTCTACTCTAGCATCTAAGATCTCCACTCTATCATCTAAGATCTCCACTCTAGCATCTAAGATGTCCACTATAGCATCTAAGATCTCTACTCTAGCATCTAAGATCTCCACTAGCATCTAAGATCTCTACTCTATCATCTAAGATCCCCACTCTAGCATCTAAGATCTCAACTCTAGCACCTAAGATCTCCACTCTAGCATCTAAGATCTCCACTCTATCATCTAAGATCTCCACTCTAGCATCTAAGATCTCCACTCTAGCATCTAAGATCTCCACTCTAGCATCTAAGATCTCCACTCTATCATCTAAGATCTCCACTCTAGCATCTAAGATCTCAACTCTAGCATCTAAGATCCCCACTCTATCACCTAAGATCTCCACTCTAGCATCTAAGATCTCCACTCTAGCATCTAAGATCTCCACTCTAGCATCTAAGATCTCCACTCTATCATCTAAGATCTCCAATCTAGCATCTAAGATCTCTACTCTATCATCTAAGATCCCCACTCTAGCATCTAAGATCTCAACTCTAGCACCTAAGATCTCCACTCTAGCATCTAAGATCTCCACTCTATCATCTAAGATCTCCACTCTAGCATCTAAGATCTCCACTCTAGCATCTAAGATCTCCACTCTAGCATCTAAGATCTCCACTCTATCATCTAAGATCTCCACTCTAGCATCTAAGATCTCAACTCTAGCATCTAAGATCCCCACTCTATCACCTAAGATCTCCACTCTAGCATCTAAGATCTCCACTCTAGCATCTAAGATCTCCACTCTAGCATCTAAGATCTCCACTCTATCATCTAAGATCTCCACTCTAGCATCTAAGATCTCAACTCTAGCATCTAAGATCCCCACTCTAGCATCTAAGATCTCCACTCTAGCATCTAAGATCTCCACTATCATCTAAATCTCCACTGTATCATCTAAGATCTCCACTCTAGCACCTAAGATCTCCACTCTAGCATCTAAGATCTCCACTCTAGCACCTAAGATCCCCACTCTAGCATCTAAGATCTCCACTCTAGCACCTAAGATCTCCACTCTAGCACCTAAGATCTCCACTCTAGCACCTAAGATCTCCACTCTAGCATCTAAGATCTCCACTCTAGCACCTAAGATCTCCTCCACTCTAGCATCTAAGATCTCCACTCTAGAATCTAAGATCTCCACTCTAGCATCTAAGATCTCCACTCTATCATCTAAGATCTCCACTCTAGCACCTAAGATCTCCACTCTAGCACCTAAGATCTCCTCTCTAGCACCTAAGATCTCCAATCTAGCATCTAAGATCTCCACTCTGGCATCTAAGATCTCCACTCTGGCATCTAAGATCTCCACTCTAGCACCTATGGCCTTCTGTTGAAGCTGCCAGTCACTCTCCGCTCGGTCAGTGAGTGGGTGGTCACTTATTGTGTCATGCTGGCCCCATGGCTTGGAGCTCTCTCCCCTCAGCAGTCCGTGCTGTTGACATCCTGCCCCTGTCAGAGTCTAGGCTCAAAATGTTCCTCTTCTTCTCTGCCTGTGACTGGGTGCCTTGTCTATACAAATATGTGCTGTGCATCTACAGAATGTTAACACCTCCCTGTTCTATATGATGAGCAAATGCATCTCAAGGCACCGTGCAAAAATAGCATCTTGAAATGCAGTTGTATTCAAGCATGATGTAAAACCAATTTTTACTGTATTGCATGACATGCTGCCTTCATTAGCGCGTCTAAAGAAGCATTAGTTCATTGATAAAAATGCATTCATGAGCTCATCATCTGTGCGATGATTCACACTTTTATAAAGTGAGTATTTAGGATGTATGCATACGATATGATATTGGTAAATATCCAGTCATGGACGAAACAAAATTGCACAAGTGACAAACAATCTACACAAGACAGTCAAAATCATAACAAAAAAAATCAAGCTTGACTTCAAACTGTGACAATTAATGACATCGAATCGAATCGCTGTGGGGAGTGAATCATCATCATTATAACCAGCCATTGTCTATCCGCTGCTGGATTAAAGGCACCCCGCTCAACATCACCATTGCTCAATCCATCTCTTCCACACGAACCGATCTTATCTCTCCAGTATTGTCCATTTCCCACCGTCGCCCCTTCCAGCCGTAACGTGGCGTGCCGAAAGAACACTCCGCTTTTCCCAACAGTCAAAGCGAACGTCTCTGATTTGTGAATGTTCGCCGATGCATGAGTCCCTATTTCTGTCAGTCTACTCCCAAATGTTTTCTTTGTCAGTGTCCGCGTTCGTGATCCGTGCCATCGCCGAAAGCCCTCTTCTGCGGGCACACTGGTCTCCTATTCTTCGCGATCAACTCCAAAGTTCCCCAAGCGTTCCATCCTGCTCACATTCCCCTTCCCTGTTTCACCATCGCGATTCCCAATCTGACTCAGCGTATCTCCCCGGTGCACATCCGACTGCATGTAAACGTATTCTCTGATGGAATTTTGTTTTCATCTAAAAGTTTTTAACATAGTTTTTTTTACCATACCCTGCACTGTCCGTCTTTCTACCCCACCTCCATTGCAACTTACCACCGCCCTCCATGTCCCCCCGACGAACAGTGAAGGATCCGTGTGACATCTTCTTGGTTCTTTCGGTAAAGTCACAATAAAAATAAAACATAATAAAATAATTATGTTTTATTTTAATTATTTTATTACTTCCCTTCTACGTGACTTTACCGAAAGAACCAAGAAGATGAATCCCTGCAGTCACGAAAGCTTTAAATCGAAATCCGTGTGACACTTACGCTCGAAAATATCAGAGCCAAGATATATTTGCCAGAGAGGTCAGAGGTTATTGGGATTCTTAGGCTGAGTACTGCAAATGTGTGTAAAGGACTGTGTCTAGAGCAGTTGTATTGTAATACATTTTTTTACAGCCCTGCCTGCAGTCAATCCACTGCTGGATGAAGGCCTGCCCATGGATTATATGGTCGTGAGGGTTGTTTGACCATACTTCACCAAGCAGTGCAGTGTTTATATTCTTAGGTTTTATCGGTAAAGTCACGTAGGTAACACAGCTAAAATTACTGTAACGGTCCCACCTGATGACGGAGACTTGTGTTGCCTCTGAAACGTCGTCATTTATTATTTTATTTTATTTCCATTATTACTTTTATTAACTTTTAATTTTATTTTTTACCTACGTGACTATATCGAAAAAAAACCTAAGAGTATGAATCCTTGCAGTCACGAAAGTTTCAAATCTAGAATGTGCAGTGTTTGTTGGTAAAGTTGGGGGGAGAGGGGGGGGGGAAGAGGCGACCCAGAAACAGTTCATATATCAGACATTATCTGTGTTTTAAAAAAACGTAGCCAGTGTGCTGACCACTGTGCCACTGCCACACCCCCATTACTTTAACACACACAAACAAACAAATGTCATAAAACAAAGATTACGAACAACCTGGAAACAGACTTCGCTGGAAATTCTTGTTTGCGAGCACACGTTATGGCACAATAGGGAGTGGTGTGGTCTTGCACTCACTCTGTCTTTGTCTTTTCAGTACTGGCATTCACTTCCCATATTAATTTTTACATAGACTGACAAAGAGAAAGGCCATGTCTGGTTCAGATTCCGATTGCCACTGGGGGTTTGCATCGCAGGAACCAAACCCTCGGCACCAGGAATGTGACGCAGTGCACAGAGATAAAGATCCCCCATATAACTCGTTTTAAGACTGTTGGGGCAAGTGCTCTTTGCATATGCCTTAACGGACTGTTGGGGCTGTCAATGAACATCTATGAAGGCCGGAGCTAGACACAACGGGGATGCGTGGGTGGCCTGCAGTGCACACAAACACACATACAGACGTGTAGTAGTAGGTTTTTACCCTTTAAACTGGTACAAAACTGACACCTTTATACAAGGCATCATGTTTGCAATAACCGCAACACAAGCAGTCAAAATGCAAACAAAAATAAACAACTCTGATAATGGTAATGATAGGCACTGTCCTTGACGTTGACCAGTTTAAAGGGTAAAAACCTACTACTATATTTTGCCACTGGTAAAGGAGGTCTCATAGTGTAAACACATACAGACTCTTACACTGTATCATCCATTCCTACATCTGGAACCCGATGAACACCTTGCAACTGATTGTCTCAAATGCGCGGAGCCCTGAAAAAAACTGACAACCCACAAACTCTAATTGTCCAGAGAGGAAGCTATTCTTGAGCGCAGGCAAATTAACTGGGTGACAACGGTGATTTATCAACTTAATTTTGCAGTCATCTAAGGGCAGATGATACGATAAAGAGTGGATTGTAAAGTGTTGCATTATATCTGGCAATTGGTTAAAAAGACCTAGGTTTTATGTGGTTTATCAATCTTTTCCCAGGACACCCCTCAAATGTTATTTTCCCACTTGGCACCAAAGCTTTTGACCTTGATAGCCATGCAGGTATTGCACAATATTTACAGAAATGATCTCAGGTTCGATTCCATTTTGGGGCAAATTACAAACACGGCAGAGAATGACGGATTCCGTTGAGCCCGATGACAACAGAGTAAATTTTTTTTTATAAAATACATGTTTGATGGACAATGCTTTGTCGAGAGCGTGAAACCTCGGATGGCCACGTGACCTCTATTGGACGACGCCATCCCAGTTGCTCACTCGGGGAAGTGACGGCGCTCAGATTTATCGAGATTTGGGTGAAGCCATTTCATCGCCGTCGTTGCTGCTGTTGCTGTTGCAACACTACGTAGTTTCTGGCGTCGACTTGTCATCGACAATCTCCGCAAACATTTCCCATCGTGCGACGATGGCCTGGTTGGTCCTCTCCGCCGTGGCAGACGATGAAAGCTAACCTTCAAAGAGGGGGCACACGAGGCGCCAGCAGGTGACCCCTCCTTGGCTCGTGTACTGGCCCAGGGCAGTCTCGAGGAAGAACACGGGGATCCCACAGCACACGAAGAAGATCACGTACGGGATGAGGAAGGCACCTGTCGGGAAATCCAAAACCGCGGCATTAGGATCATCTTCTTGGTTCTTTCGTAAAGTCACGTAGAAGGAAAATAATACAATAATAAAAATAAAACATAATAAAATAATTCTCACGACGTTTTGGCCACAACGCAAGCAGCCGTCTTCAGGTGGAGAACAGGTCTGTCGAGAAGACTCTGCCTTATGTTGTATTTTTATTATTTTATTATTTTCCTTCTATGTGACTTTACCGAAAGAACCAAGAAGATGAATCCCTGCAGTCACGAAAGCTTTAAATCGAAATTAGGATAATCGTTAATCACACATCTATGTTATAAAACATTGTGCGTCTGTGAGCGAGTCTATGAGTCACAGCACGCGCTTGAATATTTGTTGTTGTCATAAGTCAGGGACATCGGGCGCCGATGATGAGATATATAGATGAGCACAAAGTTTCACCATGCTTAATATTACAACGGCTTAGACATTTGCTTAATATTACAATGGCTTAGACATTTGCTTAATATTACAATGGCTTAGACATTTGCTTAATATTACAATGGCTTAGACATTTGCTTAATATTATAATGGATTAGACATTTGCTTAATATTACAATGGCTTAGACATTTGCTTAATATTACAATGGCTTAGACATTTGCTTAATATTACAATGGCTTAGACATTTGCTTAATATTACAATGGCTTAGACATTTGCTTAATATTACAATGGCTTAGACATTTGCTTAATATTATAATGGCTTAGACATTTGCTTAATATTACAATGGCTTAGACATTTGCTTAATATTACAATGGCTTAGACATTTGCTTAATATTACAATGGCTTAGACATTTGCTTAATATTATAATGGCTTAGACATTTGCTTAATATTACAATGGCTTAGACATTTGCTTAATATTATAATGGCTTAGACATTTGCTTAATATTACAATGGCTTAGACATGTGCTTAATATTACAACGGCTTAGACATTTGCTTAATATTATAATGGCTTAGACATTTGTAAAGTCTCTTCGAATTGCTTTTATTTATTTGAGTTGAGAGTCACGAATCGTTTCGTCCAAAAAAATATTCGACAAACGGACAGACGTCAACCGTGAGAAAAACCACAAAAAAAAATCACGGGAAATCGTTTTTCGGTGAAAAATAAAATTTCGCACGTGGGCCCCGTTTTTCAGTGGCATGGCGTGGGGGGGGTTTACGCCTTGACACCCATTACCCGGACCGGGTGCTGAAAGGGCAAGATTGATGAAGACCAAATAAAAAAAGACAATTGTCTCACTTTCACATCCCGCCACATCTGGTGCGACCAATAACTCTACGTGCACACTGCTGACCGATCAGTTGGTGTTTACAGTTTGTTTTTCGTTTGAGTGGACGGCCTTCTGTCAGCGGTGGCGTGAACGAGCAATATTGCAGGGCTGCACCTTTATTTATTTTTCAACATGGCTAATATGGACTGAGGTGTCAGTTAAATGTTGGTAGTGAGCTGTGTAACCTCACTGAATGCGTCACTCAGGCAAATTTGAATATTCTCCCTCGGATCATGGTCATCTATCGGAAGGGGAGTCTTCTTGACACGATGTTGTTTAAATTTCTGGAAAAATGTCATGTTCACCTGTTTGCAGTGTGGACAGATACCGTTTTGTTTCGCAGTATACGCGCGTTGGACTTTAAAACAAACATGACGGGTGAGTTTTAGATGTGTAGAGATCCAATTCAGCAGCGATCGTGCGTTAAGTTTAAACAATTACAGCTAAATCAAATACATTTACTGGGGCATATGCATGAAACTAAATCACCCGGAAATTAGCACATCCTATTTCAGAAGCAAAGCAATCTAGCGCCCCCCAAAAAAGGCTCTTTTATGCACATCATCGTTTTTTCAAAGAGAAGTCCTCAGTCTTGACTGAAAGCTTTCGTGACTGCAGGAATTCATATTCTTTGGGTCTTTCGGTAAAGTCACGTAGCTCGCCTACTTCAGCAGTTTTTTGTTCTTGCTGTGGTTGTCCCACCTGATGACGATTGCTTGTGTTGCGATCAAAACGTGGTGATCGATTATTTTTCTACCTACGTGACTTTACCGAAAGAACCAAAGAGTATGGATTCCTGCAGTCACGAAAGCTTCGAATCAAGATTCACGTAGATAGTTTGAAAGAAAACAACAAAAACTACGACGTTTCGATCACAACACAAGCGATCGTCATCAGGAGGAGATGATCAGGAGGAAAGATGACGATCGCTCGTGTTGCGATCGAAACGCCGTAGTTTTTTGTTATTATTCTCTTTCAACCTATCTACGTGACTTTATCTTCTTGGTTTTTTCGGTAAAGTCACGTAGAAGGGAAGTAATACAATAATAAAAATAAAACATAATAAAATAATTCTCACGACGTTTCGGCCACAACGCAAGCAACGCAAGCAGCCGTCTTCACCTGAAGACGGCTGCTTGCGTTGTAGCCGAAACGTCGTGAGAATTATTTTATTATGTTTTATTTTTATTATTTTATTACTTCCCTTCTACGTGACTTTACCGAAAAAATCAAGAAGATGAATCCCTGCAGTCACGAAAGCTTTAAATACGTGACTTTACCGAAAGACCCATAGAATAAGAACTCCTAAGGACGCGCTGTGTCAACACTCACCGCCTCCGTTCTTGTAGCACAGATAAGGGAAACGCCACACGTTCCCCAGTCCTATGATCTCTCCGGCCACTGACAGCACGAACTCCACCTTGTTGTTCCACTGCCCGCGCTCGTTGATCTTCTGCTTGCCAGGAGCAACGGGCGCAATATCCATCTCCGTGCTATCCACCTTGCCGTTCACGAGCGGGATGGAATTCTGCGCCGCCATTCTCGGTAGAGTGCTGGGTCTGAAAAGCGCAAAAGATCCCCCGCGTGGCCTCAGCGGACTTGCGCAGGGCGTGTGTTGTTCGCGAGGAGCAGCAGCACCTTACGAAGGCCGGAACGGCACGCGAGGGGGGTGGGTGGCCAGCACCGCGCCCAATCACAATTCGTCTCCCCGGTGATAATGTTTGCACACCGCACCAGGTCGTTATTTAAGGCTGGATCGACCTAGGAGAGGCCCATAATCGATTTAGATCATCACCACTGATGTCAGATATTGTCAGAAAACAATGTGGGCCGTAGGGATTCACAGCGCAGCACGCTTTCCAGTCACTACCACGGTTGCATTTAAGCAACCGTGTGTGTCGATGCACGTGTCTTTGTGAGCATCTGTAACATGTCTTTCACATGGCATGCTCACTTAGCTCGCAACTGTGTTTTTATCAAGCATCGGGCAACGTAACAGCCTGCATGCAGCATCTTCAATTGGCATTTGAGCACGGGGGCATTTGGTGAACTCGGCAAGGCAGGGTCACGGGGTCACGGGGGGGAGGGGGGGACCTGGAAATCTAATGACCCCACTGACAACGCAAACGTCGTGCTCGCGCAACGCCCCTACAAGTTGTGACCGCCGCTCCGGGGAATCCGCGTCGCCACCGCGATGATGGATGTCAGGCGAGACGACGCTGCGTGCCCTACATTGTGACCGGGACAACGTCCAAAAGTGTTGCGCAGCTCCTGTTATTGAGCGGCGCGGTGTTTTCCCAGTCAAGCGCCGTGGGTGTCTGCTATTAAAAAAATTGAATAATTCATTGCGGTGTTTAACGCGAGCTGCCTTGAAAGCATGAGACGAAGACAATTTATTTGCGGAATTCCAGCAGTCAGCAGCGCGTCACCCTGTGTTCGTCAATGGGTTTGGAAGAAGACGTCACGTGACTCGAGTACTTGCAAATGTCACCTACCGCCCTGCGATGATTGGTTGCTTAATGATTTATTACAAACATTTTCACCTGGAATATCCCTTGACATGGAACATCTCTATGGGACATACGGGGATGGGAGGGGGGGTGGGGAGCACTCAAATCTCCACACAGATAGATTCAACAATCTCCTGCTGCACTGCCATCTCTTCGCCACCTCGTAGCCGAAGCCTCCTACAACTTCTGCTCAATGTCAGTCTCGCTGGCACGGACCAGTCCACCGACTTGCTCGCTCCACCTCCGTCTCCTGTCCACCTCTCAACCGAGCGGGTTTGGGAGTTTCACAAATCTTCATGTGATCCACAAACCCTTGCCACCACGGCGCTACAGATGCCAGTGCTTGTGTGGGCTCCTCAGTGGCTGTGTGGTGTGCACGTCACGAGCCGATGTTGGTGACGATGTTGGTGACGATGGTGGTGGTGATGTGGAGCGGTAGGGTAGTGGTTAGCGCGCACCCCTACGAACTTGACGACCCGAATTCAAATTCCGCTCTCGGCCAACATCAGTGACGATTATCTGAACCCGTCCTGGGCCTCCCTTAGGTCGACTCAGCCTCAAATGAGTACCTGGTGCAGTGCGTAAAAATATCGCCACTGGGGAGACAAAGTCGGCTGGTCGTGGTGCTGGTCACCCACCCCCTCGTGTGCCGTTCTGGCCTTCACAGGTGCTCGCTAACAGCACTTGCCCCGAAAGTATGTTAAGGCTATACGCGGGATCTTTGTCTTTGTTTGGTGATGACGGTGCCGAGTCAACCCAGACCTGCACTCGAGTCCACGACCTTGGAGAGACCGTGGCTGCCAATGTTCTAGCAGGCGAATCGTGGAAGTGTGGGCTGCACGAGGCAGATGACACCCTCGGCATGAATAAATCAAACGCGTTTACACAAATTGCCCGACAAGGTTAAAAAAAAAAACCAAATCTCAATATAAATCCGCCGTTGCATTGCCGAGTTAAAATTTTTACGCGTGACTTGGTCACACCTGTGCACGCCCGTCAATTTCACGGCAGTGGATCTGGGCTCCTGGTACCCGCGAGTTTTGCGCTGCACAGCAGACGCGATTCGGCCTCGCGTTTAGCTGTGAATGAACGAATTTAAACTCGAAGCGACACGTATCCGACTGCGGTGTCGACCGTCGCGCAGCAGGTAAGCGCGTCGGGTTTGAATGGCACGAAAGTGTCGTCCTTGCAGCCACACCGACGTCGTGAGTGGAGTCGATTTGAAAGCCGGAAAAGAGGAGCGCGTGGATTAACGGACATACGCATTAATTCTAGATTTGAAGCTTTCGTGACTGCAAGGATTCATATTTTTAGGTTTTTTTCTCGGTAAAGTCACGTAGGTAAAAACAATTTAAATTAATAAAAGTAAAATAAAATGAAAATCACGACGTTTCGGAGGCAACACAAGCTTCCGTCTTCAGGTGGAACCGTCACAGCCACGACAGCTGTATCAAGTAAATACGCATGTTGATGAGAAGCAGTTCTACCTGCCAACAAGAGTAAAGTGGACCTGGCTGCTGAGGCAGGGCACGTCGCTGCGGGGGGGGGGGGGGCGATGATGGCCGATGGTCAAGAAGAACGGTGAGAGCCAAGGAATAAAACTAAACTATGCTATTTATTTATTTATATTATTTTATTATGTTTTATTTTTATTATTTTATTACTTCCCTTCTACGTGACTTTACTGAAAGAACCAAGAAAATGAATCCCTGCAGTCACGAAAGCTTTAAATCGAAAAATTAACTATTTTTTTTTATTTTACCAGGTACGGCCTGCAGAGATATACAGCTCTTGTTCAGAAGCGACCTGGCCACAAATGACAGTTCAACGAAGTGGCTTATCACTGTGTGGAAAGGTATAGCAGCCAAATACTCCAAACACGTGTGTTCCAAATTCCAAATATACAGCAGCAGGCGTCAGGGTCGGGATCGAACCCACGACCTCCTGCACTCCAGGCGAAGTAGTTAACATCTCCTAGCCACCGTGATCATGATGAGAGAGAGACACGCAAACTCTAAATATACAGCAGGCGTCAAGGTCGGGATCGAACCCATGACCTCCTGCATACCAGGTGAGGTAGTTAACATCTCCTAGCCACCGTGATCATAATGAGAGAGAGACACACAAACTCTAAATATACAGCAGGCGTCGGGGTCGGGATCGAACTTACGACCTCCTGTATACCAGGCGAAGTAATTAACATATCTCCACCGTGGTGGCATAGGAATCGTCCAAGAGACATCAAAGGAGATGGAGCGATGAAATCAGTTTGTGTGCCAGTGCTTGGTGGATTATTATATCGCGGGATTGTAAGAGATGGAAGCCGTGATCCAGCAGTAGATTGACCATGGCTGATGACGATGACGACTCGTTAATGGAATAGGTCGATCATTTTAATGGGGCACCACAGAGGTGAGATGTTAACTACCTCGCCTGGTATACAGGAGGTCGTGGGTTCGATCCCGACCCTGACGCCCACTGTATATTTTCAGTTTGCACGTCTCTCCCCGTGGTCATGTGGATTTTTCTCCAGGTCCTCCGGTTTTTTCACTCCACGTTCAAAAACACGCGTTTAGAGTATTTGGCTGCTGTAAATTTCCACACGATAACCCACTTCGTTGAGCTATCATTTGTGGCCAAGTCGCTTCTGAAAAATAGCTATATAGCTCAGCGGCCCTAACCTGGTAAAAAAAAACAATACAAATAGTAAAAAGTAGTATGAATAATGGCATTGGCCAAACACTATTATGCAGGATCCTTCTGGAAATTTTTCTTGAAACTCAGTGAGGCTTTCACAGACTAATAAATAGCAATGCCATTGCTATGACCGTTCCACTGCATGTCGAAAATGAGGTTTCGTTATGTAATGTGCCAGAGGTTGCTTTAACTTGCATTTGAATGCAAATTCAACCTATGACACTTTTTTAGTTTTACAAAACTCAAAGCACGTATTGTCGTCGTAATGGAGAGACTATGAATAACAGAAGAGACACGCACACAATGCATCCCTTTATATATCTGTCCCTTCCTCGTAGAAAAACGACAAAAGTAACGTTTAACGAAACACCATCGGCTGTCCGCTCGTCTGGGAGTGCACCACCAATTTCGGCAACCATTGGTCTGACTGCGATCAAACTCGGCAGTGTCTCACCGGCAGAGCCAGGCCAAGCTTTGAATGAATGCCGATGAACCATCAGGTGCTACAGGCAACTCCCCCCCCCGCCCCCTCTTTATTACACGGGCCCCAGTTCGACACAACGTTGATATCTTTCGATTTAAAGCTTTCGTGACTGCAGGGATCCATCTTCTTGGTTCTTTCGGAAAAGTCACGTAGAAGGGAAGTAATAAAATAAAGTCACGTAGAAGGGAAGTAATAAAATAATAAAAATATTATGTTTTTATAAAATAATAAAAATATTATGTTTTTTTTAAATTATTTTATTACTTCCCTTCTACGTGACTTTACCGAAAGAACCAAGAAAACGTTGATATCATGCGTAACACTGAAAATATCGATGCTCAAGGGTTACTTTTGAGTGATGTATTATAGAATGGCATTTGAAACGGGTGTCTCTTCCTTTGGGCACAGTACTGCGTTATCAACGGCGTTACGCGGTACTCTGGAAGCACGTAAGAGGTAATTGATATTAATGAGACGTGATAGATATCGTTTGCGCGAATCGAAAACACACGAAGGTTAATTTATTATGGCCATGCAATTTTCACTCGTGGACAAACTCCCCCGCCCCCACACACCCTGAGGGGCATGGGGATTTATTTGACCATACATCACCGCGCTGTACGCATGTTTGTTAGACTTCTTTCTTAGCGTATGCGGCCCAACGTGCCCAATCGCAGGTGCTGGGGAAGGACGGAAGACCAAGCACAAAAAGCAGTTCTAAAGAAATTCGTTTTCAACTTTGATTTGAAAAGTGGATACCTCCCAGTGGCTTCCCAATATCGGAAGGAAGAGCGTTCCAGACGGCCGCAGGAGCGCATCTGAAAGCGCGCGACGCGGTGACCCACGGGTCAAACAAAAGCCGCTGCGC